AAAATAACAAAAGAGCCAAATTGTTGATTGTCGTCAGAAGACCAAAAATTTGAATGAACTATTTTGAGTACGGATAATTACAAACTCAAGTTCTTCCTTAACTGATGGGAACCTGAAACATAATATGGCTGTACCAGCAACAAATGTGAAACTCATGTAACCATCAGCTGTCAGCCATAACCATATTTGGCACGTGTCCCTTTTTAACTTCTGCTTTGTAAGCATAACACATTATATGCAAGCATTCCAATCCATGTCTGTGAGAGTGGTAGAAGACCTATTGACCTCATGTTTTGTGAAATGAAATGATCTACTCTAACTTATAAGCCAACAATATTCCAAACATACTGATATGCAGTATGATGCTTACAAGGAGTGTTTTATTATAAAGTATATGTGTTTTGAAGTCGTTACTTGTTGAGTCTGAAGAAAACATTACCCCTAAATCCAACTATAATGAAGAATATACATCATTCTGTCTTTAACCCATTTAAAGGGAATCAAATGAAATTAAAGTCATACACAAATAGTCTGGCACAGTGTGCAACAAGTTAGCAGCTGGTGATGCCAATGACTATGATGGACTTCTGAATCAGTTGAATGAAACAGCTGTCAACTTGGATTCATAAGAAAAAACACAGATACATCAAAATGTTCATTGGAGGTTAATTTAAAGTTTCAATATTTGTAGTAGTGTTAAGCATGACTGAAACATAAACCACTATGAAGCCCATGTGCATATTAAAATTAAAGAATTTCTGTATGACAACTGAAAAATGCAACTGAGGGGCATTTTAATGTTAATACAATGTTGGCCTCACTCATGGCCAAGGCAGCAACACGAACATGGGCAACTGTAGATGCCCCATAAATGATGAATTGGCCTCTCTGACATTTAAAACATCAGATGGATTAATTATGACTACAGTTGTAACTGTTATCAACACCACATTTGGAATATCTACCTTATTTAACTTTGGCAACATGTGCGATATGAAACCAATATAAGGAGTCGAATCAAATCTAACTGTGTGGTAGTTCATCCCTGAAGACTCCTGCTTGCGGTNGTAAAACTCAACTGTTTTAAACACAAAAATCTGCATTCTTCAAAAGAATAGTTGGCTGTCACTTCCAGTGACACTCTGTAAATTATACATGATATTAGCTTTATTTCAAGCTGCCATTGAAGAGTAAAAGTAACATCTACTCATAACACTTCAATTACCGAGAGTAATCCTGCATCACAGCCTGGTCTGACCTGAGTCGCTGCACTCCCAAATGCTTCACCCACCATCTGTGGGGGGACAGCAACAGCTGTTGTCCACTTCAATTCATGGCAGTAACTATAAATTCCGATGGTGACCATGAGTTACAACAAAAAAAAAAAGTCTAAGCTCTCAGGATCTCAAAGCATTCCTGCATTTTGCGCAAATCAACTGATTGGTATGGGGTATACTATTAAAGTGGTATTTGAACTTTTAAAAAGGCATAAAAGAGACATCAAGCTGCCCAAAATGCTTTTGCTTGTGGTTACTCTCATTAATATACCTATCAAACATTGATGGGATTTTTTTTGCCATCAATGTATGATTACCATCATGGTTGTAGTTATGCTTTTAAGTATACCAATTACACATTAGGATCAAATTACGACTATCGACTATTAATGATGAGGTACTGTTTAACTGGGGTGACTTCCAACCAAAAGGGTAACACTCTGGACTGGTGGAATTTGAACTCATAAAAAGACAGAAAATAGACATGCCCATAAAGATGCTTTAGGTTGTGGTCACTCTCGTAAAACCTGAGTGAAATGAGAGCCTGTGAAGACGGCTGTACTGATTAAAATTAAAGAATATCTGCTCCTTCATTAGTATGTAAGAGGGTAAATGGAAAATGGATCTTACAGGCTGTGACATTCAGTGTTGACTCAGTGGTAATAGCATCCAAGGAAGCCACTGGGACATGATCAGAGGGAACAGAATACTTTCTATAAATAAAATATGTCGTGTACTATAACTCATATAATGAAAGATATCCCTGTATCTTGTGCACCGGTGCCCCAATGAATTTCTTATGTGTTGTGCTAAAAAAATCATTGGATTGACATGAAAGGAAAAAAAAAAATCTAAATTGTTAAATTGTCAAAAAATGTTAAATAAACAAAGAAAGAAGTTGGGGACATGGGCTGGTATGTATGCACAAGGACTGTTATAGGACTGTTTCAATGTATGTCCACTCAAACTGTTATCCACACCCTATTTGGCATAAGTCCCATATATAGCTTTTGCTGTGTGAGCAAGTCAGTTCCAATATAAAGAGTCCAGCAGGACACAACAGTGTGGTAGCAGACCTCCGAAGACTCCTGCTTGAGGTAGACTCATCTTCTGTTAGTTTGATAGCATTTAAATATTTTTCTTGTTTGGACAATTTTTTTAAAACACTAATTAATCAGCAGTAGTTGTTTAACAAATGTAGGTTTAACACTTTCATCATTCATTGAAAATATGTTCTATGATTTCAACAGGATTGTGGATAACCGTTTTTGAAAGAGGGAGGGTCAGGTAAACCTTTTTTATTTACTGTTAAACTATTTCATGCAAAGGTTTTCTTCCAATTTTCAAGTTTTTTTTCAAACCATTGTGCATGTTATAGTTATTCAGATTATTCAAGTCACTTGTGGTGATGGAAAGCAATCGATAAAATATAGATATGTTAATAAAGCAGTTCAATGCAGTTTTTCATTCAGTTCAGTTACATCAGTTGAAGATAGTAGGTTTAACATAGATAAATAACATTACTCTTATTTGTTATTGCCTCACAGAAGTAAACTGTAACCATGAGTACGGACGCAGAGATGGCCATTTATGGCAAGGCTGCCATTTACCTGCGTAAGCCAGAGAAGGAGAGAATTGAGGCTCAAAACAGACCATTTGATGCCAAGGCCGCCTGCTATGTGGTTGATGCCAAAGAGCTGTACTTGAAGGGAACAATCATCAAGAAAGATGGTGCCAAAGTCACCGTCAAAGTCTTGGACACTCAGGAGGTTTGTATCATAAAGTTAGACTCAACTGAAAGTAAAGTATGTGTTCTCAGTTCTCATTGTAACATATGTCCTATTGCAGGAGAATACATTTAAAGAAGATGATGTCACTCCTATGAACCCTCCCAAGTACGACAAAATTGAGGACATGGCCATGATGACCCATCTCAATGAAGCCTCTGTCCTGTATAACCTCAAAGAGCGTTATGCAGCATGGATGATCTACGTAAGACTATATCTTTAAAGTGCAATAATATATAATGAAATCAAAAACTAGACATGGAGTTAACGGTTTATCTCTATGWTCACTTTCAGACCTACTCTGGGTTGTTCTGTGCCACTGTTAACCCTTACAAATGGCTCCCAGTGTACGATYCTGAAGTTGTAARTGCCTATAGAGGCAAGAAGCGTATGGAGGCTCCACCCCACATCTTCTCTGTCTCTGAYAACGCTTATCAGAACATGCTCACTGGTATGTCCTCAATGTAGAATTTGTGAGTATACAGAATGATGTTTCTCTGAGAGGAATGTGTTTAACTCATTTGGTTTCTATGTTCACAGATAGGGAGAACCAGTCTGTCTTGATCACGTAAGTTCATATCTGTTGACATTTCTTAGACTCAAATATGTTGAGCAAATTCTTATAAGWCTGTGTTTATACCCAGCGGAGAATCTGGTGCTGGAAAGACTGTGAACACCAAGCGTGTCATCCAGTACTTTGCAACAATTGCAGTAGGAGGAGGAGAAAAGAAGAAGGATACTGGCAAGATTCAGGTATGTTGACACCATTGAGTCCAAGTAAAAATTTAGAGTATATGTCGAGAAGGAAAGTGATTTTCTGATTTAATTTCGAAACTTGGATTATAGGGGTCCCTGGAGGATCAGATTATTGCAGCCAATCCCCTGCTGGAGGCCTACGGTAATGCCAAAACTGTGAGGAATGACAACTCTTCTCGCTTTGTAAGTATGGGGTGATTTCTATGAGACAAAATTCTTGTTAGGCATTGGTTATGTGAAGAGATTACAACAATTTCTCTCTTCTAAACAGGGTAAATTCATCAGAATCCATTTCGGCACAACTGGCAAACTGGCTAGTGCTGATATTGAGACATGTAAGTWATAATCCTCAMAGCAAATGCAGATGACTGGAAGTGAGAACTGACCAGGTTGTGAATAATGATCAACATTTGTAGATCTGCTGGAGAAATCAAGAGTGACGTACCAGCTTCCTGATGAGAGAGGCTACCACATCTTCTACCAGATGATGACAAACCACAAGCCAGAGCTAGTTGGTGAGCAGATTAAGCTATTGCATGATTTTAAACATATGCTGATTTTTTTTTTGTGAAAAACTGTATATAATCTTCATTACGTTTTCAATCTTCAGAGGCGTCACTCATCACAACCAACCCCTATGACTTCCCCTTGATCAGCATGGGTCAGATCACTGTGGCCAGCATTGATGACAAAGTTGAGCTGGAAGCCACTGATGTGAGTGATCTTGATGTTTCAAATACGTAACATATTGCATACATTTGATGTAATCTCTAAAGTGATCTTATGAATGTATTTTACAAAGTGGAGATATTTTGTAAATAAAAATCTTCTGAACACAGAATGCTATTGATATCCTGGGCTTCAMTGCTGAGGAGAAGATRRGCATCTACAAGACGACTGGTGCTGTGATCCACCACGGTAACATGAAGTTCAAGCAGAAGCAGCGTGAGGAGCAGGCTGAACCCGATGGCACAGAAGGTGAGTATTTGATATCATATCAAAMTGAACAACAAAAGTTCTCAATCACACTGGTTTTGTTATGTCATGAAGGACAATCACTGCCACATATTACATATTAAACAACTTTACTATTTTCAGATGCTGACAAGGTTGCTTACTTGTTGGGTCTGAACTCCGCTGACATGCTGAAGGCTCTGTGCTATCCCAGAGTGAAGGTCGGAAATGAGTACGTCACCAAGGGACAGACTGTGCCTCAGGTAAAGGAGACATACTGGTTTCATTGGTTTGTTTGTTGAAATTAAAATGTATAATTGTGTGTGAACATGTGTTTTATTTACTAATAAGTTATTCAAAAAAGATGCAATTATGCATTATGGACATTGTTTCACGAAATACATTTCAACTTAAATTCTCTTAATCTCATTTATCTCGTTAAACATGAGACAGATAGGCATTCTTTTGATTTGATTGGTGGTCTGAATTTTAAGATGCATTAACTATGGATCAAAATAGTATAAATAATGTGAAAGGGTAGAAAGGGAAATATCAAAAATGTATTAAAACAGGCAATCGCTTGTGAATTAATATGCCATGACAGATAAATAGAAAGGTAATAGGATTGATCTAAATGTTGTTCTGGTAAGCGTCCAAAACATTTCAGTCTATGCAGCTTAAATCAAAAATAAATATCCTCTTCTTTTCTTTTAGGTGAATAACTCAGTGACTGCCCTGGCCAAGTCTATCTATGAGAAGATGTTCTTGTGGATGGTCATCCGTATCAACCAGATGTTGGACACTAAGCAGCAGAGGAACTACTACATTGGTGTCYTGGACATCGCCGGCTTTGAAATCTTTGATGTAAGCGTCATACACTGCAATGCATTATTAAAATATGACAAAGCCTTYYCTGTTGTCTAAGAATAATYAGGCTGATTATTTGTCCTCTCACAGTTCAACACCTTGGAGCAACTGTGCATCAACTTCACCAATGAAAAACTGCAACAGTWCTTCAACCACCACATGTTCGTCCTGGAGCAAGAGGAGTACAAGAAGGAGGGTATTATCTGGGAGTTCATTGACTTCGGTATGGACTTGGCTGCCTGCATTGAGCTGATTGAAAAGGTACACATCTATTTTGTGATTTTATTGTATGTAATACTCCTAAAAAACCCAGGCACTTCATGATGTACTATATCTCTCTGCACTTTCATCAGCCCATGGGCATCTTCTCCATCCTGGAAGAGGAGTGCATGTTCCCCAAGGCTACAGACACATCCTTCAAGAATAAGCTCTATGATCAGCATCTTGGCAAAAACARAGCATTTGAGAAGCCAAAACCTGCAAAGGGCAAGGCTGAGGCCCACTTCTCCCTGGTGCACTATGCTGGTACTGTGGACTACAATATTGGTGGCTGGCTGGACAAGAACAAGGACCCACTGAATGAGTCTGTTCTGCAGCTGTACCAGAAGTCCTCAGTTAAACTGCTGGCTGGCCTGTATCCCCCTGTTGTTGAAGGTATGATACACAATTACCTGGTCAATAGAAACATATTTTACCTTTGTATATACTCTTGCAATAAATCTCTGTATGTTTTGAGTTTCATTCTTACAAAATATCTCAACTTGAAATGTCAACAGAGGCTTCTGCTGGAAAGAAGGGAGGCAAGAAGAAGGGTGGCTCTATGCAGACTGTGTCTTCACAGTTCAGGGTAAGCTTTTACATTGTAAACCAAGAAATAACATCACACATCAGTTTATACACAAACTAAATCACCATTTTGTATCTACAGGAAAACTTGGGCAAGCTGATGACTAACTTGAGGAGCACCCATCCTCACTTTGTGCGCTGTCTGATTCCCAATGAGTCAAAGACTCCAGGTAAGATTTTAACTGTTTAGGAAATGGCTTGTTTATTTTGTTGGTATCGTTTCAATTCAGTACTGGTTCAATGAGGCRAATAACTATTCACAAAAGTAATTATGAAATCTCGTCTAAAATAGGTCTTATGGAGAACTTCCTGGTCATCCACCAGCTGAGGTGTAACGGTGTGCTGGAGGGTATCAGAATCTGCAGAAAAGGTTTCCCAAGCAGAATCCAATATGGTGACTTCAAGCAGAGGTATCAATGGATATATTTTTGACCTTTGGAAAAGAAAAAAAAGATATATATATATATATACGGTATACTCAAAGACACCAATAACTTTTTTAATTAAAGGTACAAGGTACTGAATGCCAGTGTCATTCCTGAGGGCCAGTTCATTGACAACAAGAAGGCTKCAGAAAAGCTGCTTGGATCAATTGATGTTGATCATGATCAGTACAGATTTGGACACACAAAGGTAAGCACCGACAAAGGAGGTTGATGATTTTAATMCTTTTCTTTGTCTGTCTGATAATTATCAGCATTGTACCTCAAAGTTTATTAAATGTTTGAAGTAATTTGGTGCAAAATTAGACCATGTACCTGCAGAAATTACTAATCAATGTATAGTTTCAAAGCATGTATCTTATGTCAACATGTATAAACATGTTATAAACATGTATGCCGTGGGAGTCTTTAAATATTTATTATACCTGAAAGTTCTTTTTTATTTTCTCTTCATTCAGGTGTTCTTCAAGGCTGGTCTGCTGGGTACCCTTGAGGAGATGAGAGATGAAAAGCTTGCAACTCTGGTCACAATGACTCAGGCTCTCTGTCGTGCTTACCTCATGAGAAAGGAGTTTGTGAAGATGACGGAGAGGAGGCATGTTAAAAACAATAAGTTCTAGAAACAAAGACATAGGGTGAAACATCTCCAGCAACAATTTTCATGACAACAATCTCTTCTTTACAGGGAAGCCATCTATACCRTCCAGTACAAYGTGCGCTCATTCATGAATGTCAAACACTGGCCATGGATGAAGGTTTACTACAAGATCAAGCCTCTGCTGAAGAGTGCTGAAACTGAGAAGGAGCTGTCTCAGATGAAGGAGAACTATGAAAAGATGACCACTGACTTGGCTACTGCCCTGGCCAAGAAGAAGGAACTGGAGGAGAAGATGGTGTCTCTTCTGCAAGAGAAGAACGACCTGCAGCTCCAAGTGGCATCCGTAAGTAAACCTCAGACGGTACCTGCAATTGTTCATGTTTTTAGGTCAAATAATGATGCRCTCACACTTGATGTGTTTATACAATGACACAGGAATCAGAGAATCTGTCAGATGCTGAGGAAAGATGTGAGGGACTTATCAAGAGCAAGATTCAGATGGAGGCCAAACTCAAAGAAACAACTGAGAGACTGGAGGATGAAGARGAAATCAATKCTGAGCTTACTGCTAAAAAGAGAAAGCTGGAAGATGAATGTTCTGAGCTCAAGAAGGATATTGACGATCTGGAGCTTACATTGGCCAAGGTGGAGAAGGAGAAACACGCCACTGAGAACAAGGTTTGTAAATATTAGAATATGTTGCATATCAAGTAAATTCATTRTTACTATGTGTTTAATAACATTTTGCTCGCAAATATAGGTTAAGAACCTGACAGAGGAGATGGCCTCTCAAGATGAGAGCATTGCTAAGTTGACCAAGGAGAAGAAAGCCCTTCAGGAGGCTCATCAACAGACTCTTGATGACCTGCAGGCTGAGGAAGACAAAGTCAACACTCTGAGCAAGGCCAAGACAAAGCTCGAGCAGCAAGTCGATGATGTAAGTTTACAAATTCACTTAGGTTGACAAAACAAGACTCTTTAGCATAATATTCACAAACTCAATGTCTCAATGTGCAGCTCGAGGGTTCTCTGGAACAAGAGAAGAAACTGCGTATGGACCTTGAGAGAGCTAAGAGGAAGCTTGAGGGAGATCTGAAACTGGCCCAGGAATCCATCATGGATCTTGAGAATGACAAGCAGCAGTCTGACGAGAAACAGAAAAAGTATCCAAATTTTGTTTTCCTCAATATTATAAAATAACCATCATGTTTCCAAACATGTTTAATTGTATGAATGGACTCTTACTATGAACTTTGTCGCTCTCACAGGAAAGACTTTGAAATCAGCCAACTGCTTAGCAAGATTGAGGATGAGCAGTCAATGGGATCTCAGCTTCAGAAGAAGATCAAGGAGCTTCAGGTAATCAACATATTGCGTTGAATATAACACAACATGCTTTCAGTATTTTGTGTTTCACATTGAATGTTCACTAAACAATGAAACATATACTTTAAACAGGCCCGTATTGAGGAACTGGAGGAGGAGATTGAGGCTGAGCGTGCTGCTCGTGCAAAGGTTGAGAAGCAGAGGGCTGACCTCTCCAGGGAACTTGAGGAGATCAGTGAGAGGCTGGAGGAGGCTGGTGGTGCCACCGCTGCTCAGATTGAGATGARCAAGAAGCGGGAAGCTGAGTTCCAGAAGCTCCGTCGTGACCTTGAGGAGTCCACTCTGCAGCATGAAGCCACCGCTTCTGCTCTTCGCAAGAAGCAGGCTGACAGCGTCGCTGAGCTGGGAGAGCAGATCGACAACCTCCAGCGTGTCAAGCAGAAGCT